GGCCTAGGGACATCAGGAGGAAATACAGTTGGAAGGGGCATGATAGAAGACTTGAGGAAATGATCCGAGATGAGAGTGCAGTCCTGCTTTAAGATTTTGGAAGCAGTCTGAAAAATGTAATTTGGACACCAAAATATTAGAATTTCCAGGACTGATAGTTTAAAGAAACAATGGCATAGAATATAAAACTGAAACTATCCCAGAAAAAATCTTGGCCATGTAGCTTCAGAACATATGAGGAAATATGGCGGGAAAAGGCAGCTACGGATATACAATCTACTACTGACTTAAATAGCTATTTGGTCTAGGGAAGTTTACATGGCTCTGGAGCAGGGGTTTTAAATCCTTTAGGCACTGTTACAAAACTCCTAATGAAACAACTTCAGGTAATCTTGGCCATTCCACAGCATTTATGGTGCTATCCATGGTGTCTCTGAACCTCACGTAAGGAGGACTAGCATGACAATTTTATTGCTGCCAGGTCTAATTAATAAACCCTGCTCCACAAACACTGAGTCCTTTGAAGTTGCTAAAAGCATCTATGGGTGATGTTATGATTCAAATATCCACTGGCAAGTCAAGACTAGCAAATATTTTCAAAATCAGAAGTAATGACATATCACAGCCACCTTCAATTCTTTTGGGAACAAGCCAGGTACATCTCAAAATAAATCAATACACAACTCTACGCTTATTCTAAAAAAGCACTGAAGTGGTGAAGTGTATGGTATGTGAATTATATCTCAATAAATCTGTCATTTTTATTTTTTTATTTTTAATCCTCACCCAAGGACACTTTTTTCCATTTTTTTGTTCAGACAGAGTGGGAGGGAGGGAGAGGAAAAGAGAGAGAGAGAGAGAAACATCAACATGAAAGGGACACATCGAGTGGCCACCATCCGCATGACCAACCAGGGCCCGGGTCAAACTGCAACTGAGGTACATGCCTTAGCGGGAAATGAACCTGGGTCCCTCTGGACTGCAGGCCAACGGCTCCAACCGCTGAGCCAAACCGGCCAGGGCAATAAATCTGTCATTTTTAAAACCAACAAACATCCAGGCCAGTGTGGCTCAGTGGTTGAGCATCAACCCATGCACCAAGAGGTCGCCAGTTCAATTCCTGGTCAGGGCACATGCCCATTTGTGGGTCAAATTCCCTGTGAGGGGCATGTAAGAGGTAGCCAATTGATGTTCTCTCTCACCGATGTTTCTCTCTCTCTCTCTCCCTTTCCTTTCCTCTCTCTCTAAAATCAATAAAAGGAAATAAAATTTTAAAACACATGTTTTAAACAAAATGTTAGTTTCTAGAAATGTTGTATCCTAGGAACCTAGCTATTGCCCTTAAAATGTTTATACTGTTGCCCGATCAATGTGGCTCAGTGGTTGAGTGTTGACCCATGCACCAAAAGGTTGCCAGATCGATTCCCGGTCAGGGCACATGCCCAGATTGTGGGCCCGATCCCAGTGAGGGGCATGCAGGAGGTGGCCAGTCGATGTTCTCTCTCATCGATGTTTCTAACTCTCTCTCCTTCTCCCTTCCTCTCTCTCTGAAAATCAATAAAGAAAAAAAATGTTTTTTAAATGTTTATACTGTTATAAAATTTTACAGAATAGAAGGCCTACTAAATTTCTGTGACAAAACCATTATTATTTTAGCTAAAAAGGGCAAACTGAATGATCTCCTGCCTTTCACCATAATAAGAATGATCTGTAAGCTCTTTAAAATCTGCCTTTAAGCCCTGGTCGGTTTGGCTCCGTGGTTAGAGCATCAGCCCGCGGACCAGAGAGTCCCAGGTTCGGTTCCCACTAGGTGCATGTACCTCGGTTGCAGTTTGTCCCCAGCCCCGGTTGGGGTTGTGTGGGTGGCAACCACTCTATGTGTCTCTCTCACACATCACACACATCAATGTTTCTCTCTCTCTCCCCCTCCCGCTCTCCCTCCTGCTCTATCTGAAGATAAATGCAAAAATGTCCTCGGGTGAGGATAAAAAACAAAATCTGCCTTTAAGCTCTGAATAATATTTATTTTTAATGTTTTTATTGATTTTTTGAGAGAGGGAGATACATTGATGTGAAAGAGAAACATCAATTAGTTGCCTCCTGAATGCCCCCTATGGAGGATCGAGCCTGAAACCTGGAATTGAACCAAGACTTCTCAGTCCATGGGAAAATGCTCGATCCACTGAGCCACACCAGCTGGCCTGAATAACATTTTTTTTTTTTTAATCCTCATCCGAGGATATTTTGCCACTGATTTTCATACAGAGTGGGAAGGAGGGAGGGAAAGAGAGGGATGAAGAGAGAGAGAAACATTAATGTAAGAGAGATACATCATTTGGTTGCCTCCTGCACGACCCAACCAGGGCCAGGGATGGAACCGCCAACAGAGGTTTGGAATCGAACCCACAACTCTTTGGTCCACAGGACAACGCTCTAACCGCTGAGCCAAACCAGCCAGGGCCGTTGGTTGATTCTTGTATGTGCCCTGACCAGGGATGGAACCTGCAACTTTGGTGTTACAAGGACAACACTCTAACTAGCTGAGCTACCCAGACAGGACTAGCTGAATAACAATTTTTACAAGGACACTTTTCAGATTTAACCAGTATGTAGAATGCCACAATTATGGCATGTCACTAATACATCTTTCCTAGTTATCTGCCCCAGAACTTCCTTGCCTATAATCCTCTGCAAGAGAAAAATCCTTGTGTTTATCCATTGATACTACTTCTAACGATTGCCCTCTTCCTCTAATAATCACTACCCAAGGTTTTATCTCTAGAACCATTCCAACATTCCCCATGTCCCAACCTGTTCCTTAACCTCTACTAATATTATGTCAGCTCTCTGCCTGCTGCGGAGTTACAGCAGATTATTTATGCCCTTGGAGATTTAAAATTGGTCAAGAATATAAGAAACAGACTGTTGTTTCTTCAAACGGCTGTGTCTTGTTCACTGTTAGAACCTCAACATTAAGCAGAACACCTGGCACCCAGGAGGTGCTCAATAGTTTTGCCCATCATTAAGCTATAGTCCATTCACACAAAGAATTCATCAACAAAAGCCAAATAACCAGATTATTCTTAGGCATAAATGTAGACAGGAGAAGGTGGCTGAAACTCAACTTCAGTCTTGATGTCTAAACCAATCTGTCCTTATAATGACTAGAAGGTAATTTTTAAAACAGATCATGATGAGGCTACAGCTGAAGCTCAAAACCTTACAACTGAAAAATCACAGTATCGCCCTCCCCCACCCACCCCAACCCCACACACAAAAATCACCTCGGTGGAAAAAAGCATATCCAAAACTAAAGAGCAATTTATTATCCAGTCAGTCTCCAGTTAACTCGCCTACAATTAGGCAGGCAGCTCAAGAAAGGACTCCTCAGCACAGTGAAGGAATGTTTACAGATCTTTATCTCCTCGTGTGGAAATTTGATATTTCTTAGTAGCCGCCTCATATATTTACTGTAAGAATTAAATGAGTTAATTTGTAAAGCACTTAGAACAGTACCTGGCACACAGTAGGCACTAATATAAATGTTTGTTAATAAAGTAACTTTGAATCCATTTCTAACTGCATTCATTTATACATTAGAGATCTACAGTGCCTAAAGAAATTACCAGGTTTAAAGAGAAATTCCAATTGTGCAGTCTTTATGTCTGGGGCTGGAAAGAAAGGGGTCCCAGAGAATGTTTCATGAAAACTCGTTTCATGGTTGAAGAAATTAATCACATACCTAATATTTGTAGAGAAATTCACAGGTTACAAAAAGCTTTCCTACTTATTATTAAATTTAATCCTCACAACAGCCTTGTAACAGATGCAGGGCAGGTATAATTAACTCCATTTACTGAAGAGGTTAAGGACTTTCCCAAGGTCACACAGTAAGTGAAAAGGCCTGGGGCTAGAATCCAGTTCTCTTGATGTTGGGTCCAGACCTCTTTTCACTATAACGTGCTGCAACTTGGGCCCTGAGCTTAACTTGGATCACATTTGGAAGCAACGACTTTAGAATCCTAAATGGAGAGTCTCCTGCAAATATGGACTTGAAAGTAAGACAATTCTGTTCATTGTAATTAGAGGTAATTAATAGTTGGCAAAACACCTACCTACACGAATTACAGTATAAAATGTCATGACTACACATACTCACAAAAGGCACCCCCCACTGCCCAAGACAAATTTTCAGAACAGTCTTCAAAGGGACAGTTCTCCAAAACATGCCATTTAGAGATTACCAGACCCAGAGAATACTGGTGTCAGTATTGCAAAGAAAAGGATGCCACTTCCCTTAAATTAAACCCAAAAGAAAAGGCTTGCCACAGTGGATGGTGAAGACATGAGGCCTAACAAGGCTCTGTGGGATTGCACGCAGGTTGCAAACTCCCAGCGACAAATGAGTAAGGACCATCCCAACTCGTCAATCAGCTTGCATTTATCCGGCTGCATCATTCAGGGGCTCACACCCCAGGGCAGCGATCTGAAACCCGGCAACTAAAGGTAAATATTGGCTGGCGACAATGTGCAGGATTCCAAATAACCTCACAGAAAGCCTGGCTGGCGGTACAAGTGGCACCGCATACCAACACCAGACGTTATTTTAAGCGCGTGTCCCCAAGGGAGGGACCATCTGATCGACCAGACAAGCATCTCCCACCAGCCAGGATGTTTTCCTAAAGCGACCCAGAGGGCTGGGCAATCCTGACCCAGGCCCGCCCGACTAAATCCACACGGGCCCCCTTTCCAGAAACACGCTCTCCATCCAGCCCAAGAAGCGGGGCAGAGCCCAGAGACAGCCCCCCGAGGCCGGTCTCCCTGCGCCGCCGTCATCATCACCACCGCCCGAAAGAGGAAGGCGCCTCTGCGGGGGTTTGGAAATGCTCGGAAAGGGGGTGGTGCGGACCGGCGGGCCCTCGCGCTCCCGCCTCTGCCCCGCCTGACAGCCGGCGGCGCGGCCAGCGCGGCCCGCTGCCCACCCTCGCGGGGCGCCCTACCTTTGTGTAGAGCTCGGACGCGGCCATGGCGGGCCTGCGGCGCGACGCCCCCCGCTGTGGAGGCCGCACCTCGCCTGGCCGGCCGCCCGCGCCGACTAGGAAGCGCCCAGGCTGCCGCTGCCGGGGAGCAGGGCCGGGCAGGGCCGGGCGGGGCGGGGCGGGGCGGGGCGCTTCAGGCGCGGGCGGCCCGCGGGAGCCTCGCCATCACTCCCGGGCTCACCGCGAGCAGACGCGAGAGCTCCGCGTGCCCGGGCTCCTCCGAGTCGCCGCCGCAGCCCGCTCGGCGGCCGGTGATGCTGCCGCCGCCGCCGCCCTGTGCATTGTGGGAGCGGGAGGAGGCTGCGCTCCAGCGCGGCTACCGCGGTGGCTCCGGGCTCTCGCGGGCTCACGCTGCCTCCCATCGGCGGCGGGCTCCGAGCATCATCAGCCCGCCAGCCCGCGCTGCCCCGGGTCACCCGGCCGCCGCAACCCGCCCCGGGGGCGCCTGGCACCCCGGACGCCCCCTGCCCCAAGCGAGCCCTGGAACGTGCGGAATAACCCAGCCCTGAATGGGGCAGCGATAGCTGGTGTCACTGAGGGTGTCCAGGTAAAAGACTGCGTCTTCTGTCCTAACAAGCATTTCTAGGGAAAGGATTTGAGGGGAGGCTTCTTGGAAGTCCTTAGGATAACCAAGAATTCCAGAAGAGCCTTGTTAGAAGCAGAAGAGAGGGAGGGAGGACCAAGAAGCTGAGAGAAGGGATCACCAAGGTCCCCTGAACACCTTGGTATCTGCAGCAGGGTCGGTTGGTGATGCCAGAGCAGAGCGGCTTGCTTTAAGCTGCAGAAATTTAAGTGAGTCTTGAAACAAGATGCCCGAGGGGGCGGCCCAGGAGCCTGCCTAGTTAGTAGGCCTGTGTGTTTGTGGAGGTGCTGCTACCCATGCTTCCAGCCCTCTTCCTCATCTTGTCTCATATCCGCACCACATATAATCCTGCTGAAGCTGATATGGATGCCACCTGAGGGCTTTTGTGGAGGGTCTGTACCTACCATGTAGCTCTGTATCAAACTTTCAAAGAAATCTCAGAAGCAGCATTCGGTGTACTCGCTGTTATCCCTGAACATCAAGCATAAGAATGTGGGCTTTGTACCCCACCCCATGCTATTTTCACCTTCTATCTACCTCCTTCCCACCCACACTTTCACTCCTGGTTGATTATTCTCCATATATTTGTATAATCCCAGCTTCTTTTTAGTGGGCTCATCTTTCTTATTTCTTTGAACTCTAAGTGGTGCCTCGTACCTGTCATGGGAATCTGGGATGGTTTCTATCAGGACCATCTCTCAAGGCTGACACCCTTGATTGTGTGTGTGTCCTACATGTGTATATGAAGGAAGACCATTGACAGAGGGGCACATTTGGAGCCAGTCCTCACTCCCTGGAACTCAGGCCTCTCGTTCCCTTGCACCCTGCCCACAGTCTCTTCAGAGATGTCAGAGGTAAAGGCTACCGAATACAAAGTCCTACAGAATTCTCTGTGTTCCTTACAATTCTAAAACCGAATCTTCGTGTTTGGGGTTCCCACCTTAATTGCGCAGACATAAAAAAAGATCACATGTGCAGTTATGACCAGTACAACAGAAAGAGCACTGGATTGAGATTTAAAAGACTTCTTCCCCCTTGCATTCCTTCAGGCCCTGTGTAAGAGGGTAACCATTCTGTGTTATTGCACCTGGGAGAATACCTACCTCCCAGAACTGTTCAGAAATGGTGAGTATGTTGATGGAGTTCAGGGCATGTCACACCAGGGTATGCTGCTTTGGCATATGACTATTTCAAGGGGCACTTGAAAAACAGCAAATACAAAATAAACACTCCAACCTTCCTTCTTTTTCTTAAAAGCAGGAGATGAAATTCTATATGAAGGATGTCCTCCCTAGACCAGAAAGAAAGTAACACTCTTAACATCAAGGACAAGAAGTTGAGAGCAAAAGAATCCTATACAGACCTCATTAAAATAATTATCTTCCTTTAGCCTCCTTACATAGTTTAGTCACTTTTCCTCAATTCTTTCTCTTTGTTCAATGTAATATAAAAGGAAGTAGGTTTTGCCATTTCTTTGGGTCTTCATTTCTTTATGAAGGCTCCCGTGTCATGTAAAACTTAATATATTTGTATGCCTTTCTCCGATTAATCTTTGTCAGTTTAATTTTGATCCAGCCAGGGACCCTAAGAGGGTTAAGTAAAATTTTTTCTTCTCCTACACAGAAAACACTAAAAAACTGAGAGTCTTATAGATCTGAGTGTTTTCGTGTGTGTGTGTGTGTGTGTGTGTGTGTGTGTGTGTGTGTGTAGAAAAAGAAATGAAATCATTCTCTTTTAATTCCTGAAGCATGCATTCAATGACTCCTATATTTGGGGTCCTAGTAGGAGGAAGATGTAGGGATAGGAAGAGAAGGGTTTTATGCCCTTTACCTTACTTTACATCATTCAGAAGAAGAGTAGACTTACAAGCCAGAAGCAACAAGGACCCTGATGGTTTGCCTTCCCTACCTTACCCATGTGTGTTCACAGTCCCAAGAACTTTGTCATTAGTCAAGCAGCAATAAACCAGCAATAGTTAACAACTTCTGAGGATTTAGGATTCCCCCCTCCTAGAGAGGAGCCAGAGAACATTGTAGATTTTATTTTAAATTGATAGTTCTCAGTTATTCCTTTACAATTGGGAACATTTTCATGTAGGTTGCTTTCAAATAAAACGATGTCTAATTTAATGGGGGAAATCCCTCTCCTCCAAAACATTTGTGAATATTACTTTTTTCAACAAATATTGAGAGCCATGATGTGCCAGAAACGGTTCTACATGCTGAGGATTCATGAGGAAACAAAACAGATAAAATTTCTGACCTCATGGTCATTCTAGTCAGGAAGACAGACAATTAGCCAGGTAGAAGGTGAAGGTGATAGGTGTATTAGTTTGCTAGGACTATTGTAACAAAGTACCACAAACTGGGTGTCCTACACAGTAATGTACTGTATGATCTGGAAGCTAGAAGTCCCAGATCAAGGTGTTGGTAGGGTTGGTTTCCTCTGTGAACTGGGAAAGAGAATCTGTTCCATGCATCTCTCTCATGTCCTGGTGGTCTGCTAGCAATCTTTGGCATTCATTGGCTTTTGCTGCATCCTCCAATCTCTGTCTTCATCTTCACATGATGTTCTCCCTGTGTATGTGCCTGTCTTTATGTCCAAATTTCTTCTTTTTATAAAGACAGAGTCATACTGAATTAGGGCCCATTTGATCATCTGCAAAGACCATATTTCCAAATAAGGTCTCATACACAGGTACTAGAGGTTAGTTAGAACTTCAGCATCTTTTTTTTTTTTTTTTTCCCAAGAGAAGAGGAAAGGAGAGATAGAAAAAGAGAAACACTGATTTGTTGTTCCACCTATTTATGTATTTGTTGATTATTTTTGTTATTGTTTTTGTTAATTCTCACCCAAGGATATTTTTCCATTGATTTTTAGAGAGTGGAAGGGAGGGAGGGAGGGAGGGAGGGAGAGAAAGAGAGAAACATCGATGTGAGAAAGACACATCGATTGGTTGCCTCCTGCACGACCCTAACCGGAGCTAGGGATGGAACCTGCAACCCAGGTATGTGCCCTTGACTAGGAATCAAACATGAGACCCTTCAGTCTGTGGGCTGATGCTCTAACCACTGAGCCAAATCAGCCAGGGTTGTTTTGTTTTTGTTTATTTTTTCAATCCTTACTCACTTAGAGAGAGGAAGTGGGAGAGAGAAACATTGATCTGTTGCCTTCTGTACATGCCCCAGCTGAGGATTGAACCTGCAACTCAGGTATGTGCCGTCTGGGAACTGAACCAACAACCTTTCAGTGCACAGGACAAGTCAACCAGCTGAGCAATTCCATTGGGATTTATTGGTTGATTCTTGTATGTGTCTTGACCGGTGATCAAACCCACAACCTTGGTGTATGGGGAAGACACTCTAACCAACTGAGCTACTCATCCAGGGCAGGACTTCAACATCTTTTGGGAGAACACAATTCAACCCATAATAGTTTACAATGGAGAAAAACTCAACAGAGGAGAGTGAATTTGGGGAGACCAGCAATTGTAATAGGGTGGTCATTGCTCTGTTCAAATTGAAAAAAAATCGAGGGCCTATTATGTACCAGCACTTCAGATAGTAAAGATGGGATGAATGAAATATGGGGGAGCTCACTGCAACAGGTGGCTTTGGGGCTGGGAAAGGGGCAGCCCACGCTATATGGTCATACAAATTAGTAATTCTAATTCTGTAAGATTGGTCCAATCCTAGAGGCAGAGGCAAAGTACTGTTACTTGTTATAGTATATTAGTTGGTAGTTACATATTCTAATATTAAATGTTTCAGAGGATTAGGCACTGGGCATAGGTTACGTTTCATTGGGTAGGAAAGAACCCCAGATAGCTCACTGAAAGACCCAAATGATAAAAGAAAAGAAAAGACCCAAGGGGTGATGCAGATGGGAGGTCACTTACGATTGAAGGATATGTAAAGCAACAGTGAGGGAATTAGGCTAAGAAGCAGAACAAACAAAGTTAAGAATAGGCTAAGACTGACCTAAGAGATTTCTGGAAGATGGATGGCAGGCATCAGGAACTCCTGACTCCTCACCCCTTTGCTTCCCAACTCCAGCCGGTTACCCTAGCTTCCTCTCACCTGTGAGCTTAGGCCTAGCCACACTTTATGGCTCCCCAGGCAAGGAGGATACAAAAGATCTCAAAAGGTACAATTATTTTTATTCCCTATACCTATTACTCTAATTCTAGATCTGATCTTGTGTTTCCTGAAATATTTATCTGATTTCTGGCCCTTTGTTCCTAGTCTTCCAGCCTGTGTGCTGACCACCTGCCATTTGACCAGCCTCTACCTTAATGCCTAATTCTGTGCTACCTGATTCAATGGACTGTTCTGCATCGTGAAATACTTTCTGCCCAAATCCATCCCACTCACCTGCTTTATGTTGCCTTGATCTTCCTGAATTACTTTATTTGCAGTG